CACACACACACACACACACACACACACACACACACGCCCCTCTCTGCTGACAGTTGGCACAGGATCAGCATTCCCCATTGGTCCCTCTTCACAGGCCAGAAGGAAGGGGCTGGAACCTTGGTACACCATTTCCCAGAGGTTGTTGGCCCCAAATCTAGTCCTCAGGAGGATGCCAGTCTAGTCAAAAGAAACTTTTCTAAAAAACTAATCTTGGCTGCCTCCCTGACTTCATGTGTATGACAGCTTTATAAAGATGAAGATGAAGACTAAGATGAAGGAGGAGAATGAAGAGGAGAAGGAGGAGAAAAAGAAATATTAAGTATCCATTGCTCTCTGGAATTTGAATTCGGGCTGAGATCATAGTGACCTAAAACAGAACCTGAGGTAGTGATAGGGTGCTGGACCTGAAGGCAGGAAGAACTAGGTTCTAAACCTGCCTTAGACACTTACCAGTTGCGTGACCCCAAACAACTCATGTTCTCCCTCAGAGCCTCAGTTTCCTCATCTGTAAAATGAGGGGGTTGGACTAAATGACCTATAAACATTTTTCAAGCTCCAGATCTATGCTCCTATGATCTTCTATTTAAATTAGAAGAAAGTGAGAAATGACAGCTTGTTCATCTACCTGCTTCCATGCCAAAATTTTTCCTAATTGTGTAAGACAGATGGTCCTTCAATAAAAATGGTCTCATTTCCAATCAGAGGCTCCCTGCAGTTCAGCTGGATGGACTGTGAATCATGGTGAGCTTTTTAATATACTCCATTAAGAAAATGGGGGAACATAACCTTACATATAGGTAATGAAATATCCTGATCAATTTTTAATAGATTGCCTGCTAAGCACACAAGAGGCTTGGCTTTTTTTGTGTTTGTTTGCTGTTTAGTCGTGTCTGACTCTTCTTGACCCTATTTGGGATTTTCTTGGCCAAGATATTGGAGTAGTTTGCCATTTCTCTCTCTAGCCCATTTTACAGATGAGGCCAACAAGGTTAAGTGACTTGCCTAGGGTCACACACCTACTAAGTGTCTGAGGCTAGATTTGAAGTCAGGAAGAGGAGCCTTCCTGATTCCAAGCCCAGTGCTCTATTCACTGTGCCACCTAGCTGCCCCAACAAGAGATGGGTCATAGTTTTATTACACCACTATTTACCTGTCTGAGATAATTAAAATATAAGCATCTTAAAGACAAAGATTATTCTTTGTTTTATCTTTGCATCCCCAATACTTAAGACAGTACCATGAATACAATAGACAATAAATGCTTGTTGAATTAAATTGAATTTAGGCAAACGCCTGTAGTGGGGGGGGGGATGAACAAGGATAAAGCTCATGGAGAGAGTCTCCAATTCCATATTTCTAATATTCTATGGTGAACCCATATCTTCTGGGCTTCTGGCAAAAGTTCTATTGTAACAGAATATAAAGAAGAAGGGTTCTTTCTGATCTGGTTGAGGGGAAAGGTTGCCCAGGTATTTATTTTGGACTAGATTTTTCTGATGTTCTCATTGCTTTGCTTTTGCAAACCTACCTGTCTAGTAATAACTACAAACTGGATTTTCCCATTGCTCAGTTTCATTCAAAATTGGACACAAATTCGGCACAGATGAAAAGAAGGCCACCAACAGTCCGAACTGCAAGAACAGAGAGGAGGAGAGGAGAGAAAGACAGTTCACACAGACCCTTCTCTTTTTCCTTCATAATAGAAGTGGGTAGTTGACCAACCTTGAGAGAAATGCCAGAATCTTTTAAAGGGAGCATTTGTGAGATGAGAGGAAATGGTGCCAGCTTCAGCTATGCCAAAAATGTACATAGGTTTTTTCTTTATAACTCTGTGGGAAAGGAGAGAAAGAGATGAAAAATTAGAGAGCTGGGAACAAAAATGGCTAAATGTTTTCCTCCCAACTGTTTGTTATCTGATATGCTGCAGCATCTTTCATAAAAAAAAAAAAAGTCCTTCCAGCCTCTTACAAATGAGTGACTTTTAAAATACCAACAGATTTAATGAACCAGAAATGTTATTGGTCAGTTACCTGAGTGAAGAGGCATGTCTCCACCTCAAATTCTTGGACACAGATGATATAGCAACTGACAACAACATTTGATAACTGGTGAATCAAACTGTTAGTTTCCACAAACTTGTAGAATTAGGTCAGAGAATGAAGGGATCACTCAGTCTCTAGGAGATTGGATGTGGCCCCTGTCTGACTAACAGAGCAAAGAATGAGATTGGCTACCCTGTGAGCTGTGTCAGAGTATTGATCGGGGACCAAAAATGAATATTGAGGAAAGTGAATCTGTCCATTTCACTGATGCTGACAGAAAGATCAAAACAGGACATTCCATATAAAAATAAATAAATAAAGCAAGGAAGATAAATTGAAACCAATAAGTAAAATGTTGTAACATGTCCCCTTGTTCCACTCAGTCTCCCAAATAATTATTGACTCAGATGACTGGAAGGAAATTGAAGGGCCAAGGAAATCAATTCTATCACTTATTTATTGTGAAATGTTGGCTCTTTCACTTGCTTTCTCTGCACTTCAGTAGAATGCTTAGCTTCAGTAGAATGCTTACTGTAATTAAGGAGGATGCCACTATTTTGGAAGACTTTGAGTATTGTCATCAGTTTGGGGTACCATGTTTTTAGAAAGAACAGTGACAAATTAGGATGATTCCAAAAGAGGGTGAAGGGGATTGGAGGTTATGTCATAAGAGGACTACTTGAAGGAAGTAGGATGATTTAACCTGGAGCACAGAAGACTTATTAGGAGCATTCTGTCTCCAGTCTAATTCAATTCAAGAAGTATTTATTAGCTTTCCATTCTGTGCAAGATTCTGGGAATTGAGGGAAGAGGGGATACAGATACAAAAATGTAGTCATTCCTCTCCTTAAGGGGAGGGGAAACTATATGTATGTATATAAATATATATGTGTACATATATATATTAGGGGAAAGGAAGAATATATATAGACTATATTTATAGGCATATTCATATCTTTTAAAATATATTTTAATAATATTAATGGCATGTTAATAATATATTTAAATATTTATATAAACATCAAAATATGTTTTAAATCTATCATAAAATATATTTTTAGATTTATATAATATAAAATATACCTTATATTACAGATATATTTACATAACATAAATACAAGTAAATTTAAGCATTTGAAGATCTATCCTATGGAAGAGGAATTAGACTTTTCTGTCCAAAGAGCAATGGGTAGGAGTTGCAGAAAGATAGACACTCTCGAAGTGATCAGGGCTTATTGGATTTCTGGGTTTCCTAATAATTCCTAATAATTCACTGATCTAGAGGTAGAAGGGACCTCAGAGGCCTTCTACCTCAACCTCTTCATTTTACAGATAAGGAAATTGAGGTCCAGGGAGATTAAGTTTCTTGCCCAAGGTCATACAAGATAGCAAAATATCAGAAGCAGGATTTGGTCTTCTGACTCCGGAGATAGTAAGCATTCTACTGCACCACATGGCTTCCTGATTCAAACTGTCCCTGAGTAGAAGAAGAGACCTCTGAAGGACCACTTTGTCAGGGCTGTTGCAGAGGGAACTCCTGTTCAGATACCAGTTGGACTGCAGGGTCCCTGAGATTCCTTGCAGCTCCGAGATTCTGGAATTCTGTATATGTCATGAGGGTGTATGAATGGATCTTTAGGTCAAAGTGTTCTGTCTTGGTTTTTTTTTTTAATGGATATACACTGCATGATGATTAAGTGCATGAAAGCCCCAATGAAGTCAGAAAAGACTCTGATCTTGACACTTAGACATCAGCAGACATAGCATCAGAGGTCCTCTCCAAGAAACACAGATTTTTCAAGACTCTTCTAACTTCATTGGATTTTTTTTTAAAAAAAAATCTTTTTTATATTATGTAAGTCAACTCTCAGCCATCTAATGAAGTACCTACTTCATAAATTATCCAAGTGTTCCTTCCCTCTCTGGGCTGTTCAGGGAGAATGTGTGTGTTTATGTGCATGGGTTTGACGAGGCATGTGTTTTCCCCTGCATTCCCAAGCTGGAGAGACAAAGGTAGCAATCAGATCAGTGGCCATTCTTGATATTTCATGCCTCTTCTCCCTTCTGTAAGTTGCTTAAAGCACTTTATACATTTTTAAGCCCGTCCTGGCGGAGGAAGATGAGATTATCACTCATCTTTGGAGGTAGAGAAAAGGGACAAAGACCCAGAGGTTAAGAGCCTTGTTCAGTGATTTGGGCTCCACAGTCTCCAACCACAAAGCAAGGACTTTGTAACTATTCCGCATTAAGAGAGTATTCTTTTTCCTCCTACACTTAGCAGCTAGCCTCCTTTGAATCAAACTGCTGGCTGGCGCTGAGGACGGTAGGGTGGGTTCGCAGAACCTCTTCATCATTTTAGGGTGAACTTTGCTTCGTAATCAGCATGTTCTCTTCTTTGCCTCTTCTTACTGTTCCCATCCCAGGGTGCCGGCTGTACTGCGCTGGTGGTGGCTGTGGTTGCCAGAAAGTTGGAACTCACCAAAGCCGAGAAGCACGTTCACAACTTCATGATGGACACTCAGCTCACAAAACGGGTAAAAAGTCCCTCTGAAATGGGGAACGTTGAAAGCCCCGAGGAACAATGCCCCCTGCTCCGACTTCCCCAAGTCACATCTTGTGCAGTCACCCATTCCGGCAATGTGCCTTCGAATGGAATCCAGCTTCAATGGGCCTCCCCTTCCCACCCCTTTTAAAATGAAAAACTTCAATACTCCAAGGATTTTATCCCTCTATTTCTGCAGCGCAGGTCACGATCCCTCTCACCGTTAGTGGACATGCCTTTGGGGATTTGTTATGAGTGAAAAATATGTCACCTTATGGACAATCTGGTGATTAACATTTCCCAAATTAATTGGGTTACCCCGGGATGACAGCAATGCAGTTCCTTACTCAACCAACCAATCCACAAGCATTATTTAAGCACTTACTGTGTGCCAGACATTGTGGTAGGCAACAGGGATACAATGTGAAACGTAGGTCTCACAATTCAGAGCAGAGTGTTAATATTGCTATCTTTTGTCAAGTTACACTACCTCTCCTAGGACACTAAATAATTTTCCTGAAAATTAAATACATATGCAATAATGGTGAGGCAGACATGTAATAAGGGCTAATAATATAACCGCTAATATTTAGATATTGCTCTAAGGTTTATAAGATACTTTACAAATTTTATTTCATTTGATCAGCACAATAACTCTAGTCTGAGATAGTTGCTATTATTATTTTATAACTGCCTCCTCTAGCCGTGGTAGACTGGGACTACTGTCCCAAGAACAGAAATGTGATGTCTTCTACTACTAACAGCTAGCATTTATATAACACTTAAAAATTTGCAAAGCAACTTTATATGTTAACTCATTTGATCTCTACAACAATTCTGGGAGGTGGATGCTATTTATATCTCCATTTTGCAGATGAAGAAACTGAGGCTGAGAGAGGTTAAGTGACTTGCCCAGGGTACCAGTAGGTGTTTGAGGCAGAATGCAAACTTCCTGACTCTAAATCCGCCATTCACTCTGGCACTTCACTGCTCCCCAGATGAGGAAATGGTCCCAGAGAAAGGAAAAGACCAGCCTCCTGCCCTTGCCACTACCCCCTTGTTCCTCATTAGGAAGCACAGCAAAGACTCTTTAAAATGTTACTGCAAATGTGCCTGATGCCTGTCTTCAAATAAGACTCATTAAGAGACACAATTCCAGAAATACCCAAATTTCCAAATGATGGCTCATCAAAGCAACATCATCCCATTTTTTTCCTCTTTTGGTTCTTTTCCTAGTAACGGCTCTTCCTTGCACCTTTGTCAAAGTAGTTAAGTAGGATGACAAAACTGAAATTCTCATCTCCGAGGGAGCTGGCAGATCATTTAGCCACTGAAAGTGAAGCCCAACTCCAGTCCAAAATTGTCAAAGAAGAAAATGCTCATTTAGAACAGACAGAAATGAGTCTACCATGATGACAACAGGCCAAATGATCAAGTCAGGGATTGTTTATTTAATGGCAGTTTTTATGACAAATTCTTTAGCACTGCTGTCTGAATGAAGGTCATGAATATGATTTCCTACTAGCTCATCCTTTCCCTCCAGAATGAACCCCTTTTTTGAATGCAGTAGCTGTCAATGTACAACAGCCAGTCTTCCTCATTTGTTACATAGGGGATTTATTCCTTAGCAGAATTTTGATTTAGTACTCTGAGAGGGAAATGAAAAAGTAAATGATTCATGTTACAGAGCAGTGGGAAAATGATGTGTTACAAACTGGGCAAGAGAGATGAAGTTGGGGGGGGGAGAGGGAAGTGGGAGAAGAAATGAGAGGGGAAAGGAGGAAAGACGGGAAAATAGAGGGAGAAAGAGGGAAGTGAAGGAGGTAGAGAGAGGTAAAGGGAGACAGGAGAGAAGGAAACAGAGAAGAGGAAATGGGAAAGGGAGAGATAAGGAAAGGGGGAAGAGAGAAGGAAGAGGGAGAGGGAGAAGGAAAAAGGGGAGGTGGAGAGAAAGAAGGAAAAGGAGAGAGAAGGAAAAGGGAGAGAAAATGAAATGGGGAAAGACCAAGGGAAAGAAAGGTAAAGAGAAAGAGGGAGGAGAGAGAGGAAAATGGAGGCAGAAGGAAAGAGGGGGAAGGAGAAAAGGGGAGAGGGGCAGAAAGGATGAAAGAACACAAAAGGGGAAAAGAAGGTAAGCTTACCAAGGCCTCTCCAATTTCTATTAAAGCAGTTTCTCAAGAGAATTTTTTATGGTGTTTGACTGCTTTGTTTTTAATTGTGTTTATTGAGCTTTATAGAGCCAACATAGAGGTTAAAAGGAAAAGGTACAGAGCAATATTCTTATTCTGTTGATATAGCAACTGCTGTACATACCATGTCATAGTGGTGGGTTAGCTGTTGTTCAGTTCAACAAAAGGAGGTATTTTATGTGCGTAAGCGGTTGTGTCCTTCATAGAAGACTACAAAGGCTATAACTATCTCTAAGGACTGTTAAACATTTGAGTACAGAATCACATTACCTTTCCTCTTCCCCTCAATCTTCTATTCCACATGAATGAGCCATATTCAGTAATTAAGGGAATCTGGGAAGATTATTTGTACCCAAATGGAAATATGCCTGCATCTATTATCCTGGAAAGTCCTTGGGTAAATCACTTTACTTCTCTGGGTCTCTGACTTTTTTTCTGCAGGGGTGGAGGGCAGAAGAGATTTTTGCCTCCAAACCTTCTCAGAAATAGCTATTTGAAATTCCCTAATCTGAGAGCACCATACCAAGAAAAGGACCCCAGGAAATTGAATGAATAGCATTTTAAAAAAAATTTATTTACTTTTAAACTAAGGACACACTTGAACTTCCCTCTTATTCCACGATCAACGCTCCCTCAGTGAAGCAGACACCAGACTCCTGAAAAACAAAGTGAATTTCAGCCCCTTTGTGATCTAGAAATCTCAATGTGTGCAGAAGAGTCCGTTAAGAAAATTAAACAAATCTTCTGGAACATAATTATAAAAGGTTATGAGGTTTTGGTTAATTTTGAGCTTTTAAAATAACTCCATAATATTCTCCTTCAAATCCAGTTACCTTCAGAAAGACAAGAGCAAAACTCAAATCAGTCAATATTTATTGAGTCCCTTCTATGTGCAGGGTGTCTTATGTAATCAAAGACCAGCCCCAATGGAGGCTCTTAAAGTTTATGCCATATCATAGGATCATAGATATTTTTAAGCATCAAAGATTTAGAGCTGGGACTTTAGAGATCATATAGCCCAACTCTCTCATTTTACAGATGAGGAAACTGAGAGCCAGGGAGTTTGTGACTTGTCCAAGGTCATACAATAAGTGGCAAAACTAACGTTTTTTTCTTCCAAAGAACTAAATAGTAGAAAAGTCCAATAGGTAGAAGCTTTTCAAATCAGGAAGCACTGGGACTTTAGAAACCTCTTTTACATCACCTTAATTGAAAGAAAACCAAATTGTTATTCTTGGCCTGCTGCTATTTGAGTTCAATTTGACCTGTTCACAAATGAAGCCCACCTTTCTTTTTCAGAATGAATTCCTTAGTCTATTTTCCATTTAATTCAGTTCTTTTCTAGTTTCTCTAAACTGCCCTTTGGGCCTAGATGGAAAAATTCACAGATCAAAGAAACCTCCAAAGTTTGGTATATAGTATATTCATAAGATCTCAGCAAATTCAGACAGAGAGGAAGGGAGAGAGGCAGGGGAAAAAAGGGAGAGAGGTAGAGAGAGGAGTGTGAGGAGAGACAAAGACAAAGACAGAGAGAAAGAGAGACAGAAACAGAGAGAGACAGAGACAGAGAGAACTACCTGATCTGGAAAGAAATTATCATGATATAATCACAAACCTCCCAGGAAGTAGGTAAGTGAGAGTTTTAACAACAGATGGAAACAATCACTTGGAAATCTATAAAGAAGACCAATTCTTGTTTAAATACCAAAGCCAAACCATATGGGGAAATATATTATAATTTATTAATCACAACAATTTACTTCCACTGTGGTCACACTGACTGATTTACTCCCCAATCTGACCTCATGCCTTTTTTTTCCTATGGTATAGCTGTGGACCTGAGTTCAAATCCCACCTCAGACACTTATGAGTTATGTGACACTGAACAAGTCCTCTTGTTCAGGAATCTTGGCCTGCCTCGGTTTCCTCGTCTGTAAAATGAGAAAAATAACAGCACCTACTTTGCAGGGCTGTTGTGAAGATCAAAAGAGGTCATCCTTGTAACATGTTATGCAGACCTTATAAAGTGCTATATAAATGCTAGTTGTCATAATGGAGGCAGCTGGTGGTACAGTAGATAGCACTGGGCCTAGAATCAGGAAATCCTGAGTTAAAGTCCAGACTCAGACCCTTCATAGGGTTGTTGTGAGGATCAGCTGAGATAGTGCCTGTCATATAATAGGCATTATATAAATATTTATTCCCTTTCCTCATAATGAGTGTTAGTGATACTAGCACCTTTATTTATCAGCAGGAGGAAAATGAAAAAGAATAAAACCATGGGTCAGCTAGGTTGCTCAGTGGATAGATCACCAGCCCTGGAGTCAGGAGGACCTGAGTTCAAATCTGGCCACTTACTACCGATGTGACCCTGGGCAAGTCATTTAATCCCAATTGCCTCAAAAAAAAAAATAAAGCTAAAACTTGGGTGAGGTCATCAAGCTTTGCCCCTTGGCATTGATATGGGGTAGGGTTAGAGCTAGGGGCTTCCATCTCTGGGCTTCACAATAATAATAATAGCTATCATTCATGAAGCACTGTAAGGTTCACAAAATCCTTCACTTATATTGTCTCATTTAGTGCTCACAATATTCCTATGAGATGGTATTATTATTTTGCAAATGAGGAAACTGAGGATGAGAGAAGTTAAGCTACTTGCAGAGGTTCACACAGCTACCCACAGCCTGGGTAAGGCAGGGTTTCTGAAGAACTCAGGTCTTCCTGACTCCAACTCTAACTACTCTGTCCACTATCCCACCTGGCTTCTAGGGGTATAACTGCTCCTCACTGGTGGCTCAGGTTG